TGGTCCATGGGGTCGCGAAGAGTCGGACTCGACTGTGCGACTGAACAACAACAGCAAAACAAATTTGTTGTTGTTGTTCAGTCGCACAGTCGAGTCCGACTCTTCGCGACCCCATGGACCAGATCCCGCCAGGCCCTCCTGTCTTCCGCGGTCCTCTGAAGTTTGCTCAATTTCATGTTCGTTGCATCGATGACACTGTCTAACCATCTCATCCTTTGCTGTCCCCGTCTTCTTTGACCTTCAAAGGTGTGTTTAAACAAATTTCTGTCTGAGGAGGGCAGGCGCTTTTGAGAGGCGGCAAATAGGTTTAAGTTGTGAAAGAGGGCAGCCGTGTTGGGTCTGCAGTAGAACAGCTTGTATCTGATGAGGGGAGTGTTGACTCTCAAAAGCTTATACCCCCAAAATCTTGTTGGCCTCTATTGGTGCTCAACTCTAGGCTCGGTTGTGCCTTGATGGGGTTGCTTCCCCGTCACATATTGGTGGTTCTACTTTTTTTTGGGGGGGGGAAGTTCATAAACCATTTGAAAAATCCAAATGGAACAGCCCAAGACCCTTGCTTGGGGCTGCAAAATTTTCTGAGACTGGACTTTGAACATTTTACTTCCTTTCTCCCTCCTTCCCCCTCCCCAGATAGTACCTCTCTTGTTCCTCTCTTCCTAGGATTCTCACATCTGCACTGAGCTGCTTTTCCGGCTTGGCTTCTTCCCCTCCCCTTTCCCTCCGGGTGGAGATCAGATGCCATTGGCCCGAATTAGGCTCTGTCCCTCCCTCCTAGACTGCCTGACAATTAGTGCACAAGGCGAGGCAGGGAAGCAGCCCTGCATCGGTGGCACGGAGCATTTCCTGGTGTCCTCCTCCTCCGTTTCTTTCTCATGTCCCCTGCGAATGACATTTGGAACAAAAGCAGGAGGGAAAAGAGTGCTGAAATGGCGTCCTTTCAAGCTGAGCCCTTGATAAAGCGTTCAGGAGGAGTTGGTGCTGGGGCTCCAGTGGCGCAATCGGTTAGCGCGCGGTACTTATACAGCAGTACACGACGAAGCAATGCCGAGGTTGTGAGTTCGAGCCTCACCTGGAGCACATGTCTTTTGGGACCGCTGGCTTTTGGGCTACTTCAGTCTGGGTACCCGCTGTTTGCTTGCTCTTGTGATTGCACATCTGCAAGGAAGAATTGCCCAGCTGGTACATACATGAAGGATGCTGATCACGAAGGATGCTTGGATGTCTGTAAAATCGCTCAATACTAGGAAGATGCACACGCAGTCCCTTGAAATGCGTTTATCGTATTGGACGCCACTGAAGAATGTTGTGGAAGCGGCTGAAGAATGCTGTGGAATCGCAGCCTATTTTCTACACCATTAAACTTGTCATGTTGAAATGTGTGTGCTTTGTTTGGGGTCTGTTTTAGATTTTTGTTTTCAGATTTCTGTAGCCCAAACCCCACTGAACTGTTCAATAGATATCCCATCCTGTTGATTGTATTTGACTGGACTATGTGATTGCCCTTAAGTCTCTGCAAGAAAGGTGGACTATAAGTAATTACAGGTCAGGTAAGCTTGTCAGGAAAGCAGAATAATAAAACGTCCACATTAACATGTATATTTTGTAGGAAGTGAGAAATAATTTGTGATCCAATGTTCTAATGTATGATGCCGGGTGGGAACTGTACTATCTAGTCCAATCTACGCACTTCTAAAAACTGCTGAAATCAGGAAAATAAAGAAGTGGGTAAACTCCCATTTATTTATAATTTTGTGGACTGCTTTTCTGTCTCACAGGGACTCAAAGTGCTACGTAGTGTAAGTCAATAAAATTCATGTGATGCAACATCTAACAAGCGATGTAATTGGGGAAGGATTACCAAAATTTGAAACAAAGCAAAAAAGAATTAGACAGGAAATTCTAGAATTCTTGATGGTTTTGAATATGTCAAGATGGCATGTTCTTTGTTTCTTTTATAGTGGTTATAGAAATCATTTCAGAAGATAATAAGAGATTATTTCATGCATTAGTAGCTCCATAGAAGTTGTTTGTTAAGGCATATTGAACAGAAATCACTGCCACAACTAAATTGGTGACATTTTAACCAATGCTGCAGGTTTGTGATGTCCCTTGAGGTTTCAAAAAAAAGTTCTTTAAAGTGGATGGTCTAAGTGCAGGGGAGATTTTATAGGTGTTTTAAAACTGGCAGTTGGAATATTATTAGAGCATTATAAAAATGTGTCAGGTTATCTGGATTCTCATTAGAAACCATGTCTCTAGCTCTTTTCATTGTGGATATATAAGGGGAGAGGGATATCTCTGCAAGGCAGGTTGCTAGAGAATTTTTTTTTAAAAGAATGTTGGAAAGTCAGCCTGATAGCTGGCACAGAATGCTGCAGCTTGGTTGTTATCAGGAGCTAGGTAGAGGGTGCATATTGCACCCATTCTGCAGTCATTCCATTGGCTGCCCACTTGTTACTGGGCTCAATTTAAGGTATTGGATATTACATACAAAGTCCCACATGGCCTTGTGCTATGCTGTGCCGTGCCGGCTTCATTCATGAGCAGGACCTTATGTGGGTGCCACCCACAGTGGGTAAGATCAACACCTGTATACCTGCCTTCTCTGTAGGAGTTCAGGAAGGCCCTTGCATCCAAATAGCGAATCTGGACTAAGTAGTTCTCTAAGAATGATCTTTTAAACTATTTAGCCCAGCAATCTCCCAGGTCTATCAGATAGTAGTTTTAGAGTATCACCTTTCAAGGCTCAAAGCTCCCTTTGCTGTCTAATTGAGAAAGCTTTAACTCCTGAAAGGTCATCGTCTGAAACTCGTGTTGGTCTCTGAGGTGCCACTGGACTGGACTCTTAAGTGTTGTACTCCAGACCAACATGGCTAACCCTCTGAAACAAACTGGAGTTGGTTCTTAACTACTGAGTTGGCAATACACTGTGTGCTTTGCTTCAGATTTCTGTGAACTTAGTCCTGTCACATTATCTGCTTATTAGACATCTCATGATGTCCTCTGTGCAATTTGTCTTGAGTGTCAGTGAGAAAGGCAGATTATAAATAAAGATATTTATTAGAGGCCCCAATTAAATACAGACAGCCTTCTGAGTAAGCATACATAGGACTTGATTGGTAGGAAGAAGAAGAGGAAGAGGAGGAGGTGATTGGATTTATACCCCGCCCTTCACTACCCAAAGGAGTCTCAGAGCGGCTTACAAACTCCTTTCCCTTCCCCTTCAAGGTGGGGGCCACCACTGAGAAGAATCTGGCCCTGGTCGCAGCAAGCTTTGCCTCCTGGGGGCCTGGAATCACCAGGCGGTGTAGTGTCCCCAACTGAAGTGCTCTTGGGGGTATATGTGGGGAAAGGCGGGGTCCCTCAGGTAGGTCGGACCCCGGCCATAGTAAGGATTCCTATAAGCAGTAAAAGGATAGTCAGAGTGAGGTAAACAAAAGAGAGCACAGACTGTGGCAAATAAAATGCAAGTCGATCATACAGGTAAAAGGGGACTATGAGGAACATATTGCAAAAAACATAAAGACCAACAATAAAAATGTCTTCAAATACATTAGTAGCTGAAAACCAGCCAAAGAGGCAGTGGGGCCCTTGATTGTCCACTCCAGAACTGGGGGATTGAAAGACCTGTGTCAGATTGAGGTGACAAGAGAGGAGGTCCTACAATTGATGAGCTTCCATGGCTCAGTGCTTACTTCCTCAGATGCAACAAAAGAAAAACAATTTTCCTCATTTCTGTGCAGAAAATTAAGATGAGCTGTAATTCGGTGCATACAAATGAGGAAACTTATTTTTCACTGTGTCTGAGGACGTGAGCTCTTGACCAACAAAAATTGATGTGGGAACAAAAGCTATTAGTCTTCTGTGCTTCTGTTTTTGAAAGGATGAGAGGGTGTCTTTGGCAAAAGGACAGTTAACCCCATTTACTCCAGTGTGTGCTTTGGTGGGTAAGAGTGAGGCCACCCCAGGTGGCGGCTGGAGATCTCCCAGAATTACAACTGCTCCCTAGGTTACAGAGATCAGTCCCCCTGGAAAAATCAACGCATTTGTTGTACGCACAGTTTATGAAACACTTTGTACTCTGCCACTGACTAACAGGTTTAACTTCGTAGGTAAACTTAGCACTTCCATAATACATATGTTAAGTGCCATTTATGATTCTAACATCATGAATGTATTCAGGTATTGACTTTGGTTCAATTGTGACTGTTGTTTGGATGTGTGCTGGGAGGGTAAAATGCTGAAAGAACAAAATGCCTACGTGCTATTTTGCGGAGGCTTTCGGCCTTCACTGTCCAGCCTGTGCATGTCTGCCTAGCTGAATAAAGAACAATAATACCCTGTACCTATATGGATACTTTTAGAGCTGCAAAGCCTAAGAAGAAAGTACTTATTGTTTAGCTAAAGGAAGAACTTTTCTTGCGCAAGCCTATCTTGTTTTATTTGTGTGTGTCATCTTAAGTATGAAATCCTATGTTACCCTTAGTAACACTCAAAGAATCTGTTGGATATTCAGGGATTTCAAACGTCGATAACTGTACTCTGCCTTTATTAATTAATAAATATTCTAGTGTTTCCTCTCTACAGGACTGTTTTCGTGTGTTTCCTCAAGTTGGGTTGGGAAACACAACCAGAGGCACCATTTGTGTCTTACACTTTGGAGGGTAAACTCTATGGCATTGTACCGCACCGCACTGACGTTCCTTTCCTCCCCAAACCGTGCCCTCCCCCAGGGTCCACCTTCAAATCTCCAGGAATTTCTCAGCTTGCCACGAAAGAAGCAGGATGGGTTTTCCTCATTTTTCTCTAGAAAATTTCAGCTCCTCCTCTCCCCCCCCGGGGAAATTTTCTATATCGAAATTAGGGAAATGATTTTCTTTTCTTTCATGGTATCTAAGGAAGTGAGAACTCTTGCTATGGCACATGTGGGAATAAGTGCTATTACCAAGATGTCTTCTTTTTAGAGGACATGTCTTCTTTTTTTGTGTCCCACCACTTTTGGGTTTTTTTAAAAAATGTCCTGTTTTGGGGTTGGAAGGTCAGGAATATTCCTCATTAATATTAATTAGGTTTCCCTTGCTCGAAAGCCAGTCGAATCCGACTCTAGGGGTGCGGTGCTCATCTCCGTTTCCAAGCCAGCGCTGTCCGAAGACGTTTCCGTGGTCATATGGCCGGCACGACTAGATGCCAAGGCACACGGAACGCTGTTACCTTCCCACCCGAAGCAGTATCTATTTATCTACTTGCTTTCGAACTGCTAGGTTGGCAGGAGCTGGGGCGAGACGGGAGCTCACTCCATCACGCGGCACTCGGGTCTCGAACTGCCGATCTTCTGGTCTGCAGGGTCTTAACTACTGAGCCACCGCAGCCCCTTTAGTAGCAATTATCACAGTTTAAATAGTAGGTATTTAAAATGAGATTTGTCATAATGGTCACAACTCTTCCCCCCCCCCTGTAATTTTCTATATAGAAATGAGGGGAATGATTTCCTTTCCTTTCACGGTAACTAAGGAAGTGAGAACTCTTCTTATGGCATGTTACAATAAATGCTGTAAGGTAGGGTTAACTAGATGTCCTCTTTTTAGAGGATATGTCCTCTTTTGGGCTCTTCTTTTAAAAAACTGATGAAAATGTCCTCTTTTTGGGTTGGAAGTTTAGTAATATTCCTCCTTAGGTAGTAGCAATTGTCACAGCTTAAATAATTAGGGGTATTTAAAATGAGATTTGTCATAGTGGCCACTTGTTTGAGGCAGTCAGTCGGGAAAATCTGTCCTTTTTTTCCGCTTTCCAGAACATGGTAACCCCCCATTTAAAGTGCCCCCTTATTTGAGTTCTATTTTGAAAAGGAAGAAGAAGAGGTTGGATTTATACCCCACCCTTCACTACCCAAAGGTGTCTCAGAGCGGCTCACAAACTCCTTTCCCTTCCCCTCCCCACAACAGACACACTGTGAGGTAAAAGAAGAAGAGATTGGATTTATACCCCGCCCTTCACTACCCAAGGGAGTCTCAGAGCGGCTTACAAACTCCTTTCCCTTCCCCTCCCCACAACAGACACCCTGTGAGGTAGACGGGGCTGAGAGAGCTCTTGGCAGACACTGCTCTTTTTCAAAAACAGCTCTTATCAGAGCTATGGCTTGCCCAAGGTCATCCAGCCAGGTGCAAGTGGAGGAGTGGGGATTTATACTCGGTCCTTCACTACCCAAAGGAGTCTCAGAGCGGCTTACAAACTCCTTTCCCTTCCCC